GTAGACTTTGACCCCGTAACCAGTATTTTATATGAGGAATGCTATGGACACTGTACGGGTCCCCACCTGTTTGGCCGCCAAGCGTGGAGCGAACAACGTTGAGTCTCACCGTTCTTGCTCTAGAGTCATGACACCTGCTAGCGTAATGCCAGGGAGTGCTCACGCACAATTGTTGTGCAAAACTTCGCGAACACGAAGATCCAGGACAATCAGGCAAAGCTTGCACTCTTCCGGGTTTTCCAGACATGTCAGGGTGTTCCAGGGCTTGCGTCATAATTACTTTGAAGTGCAGGAAGGAGAAAGAGGCATTGAACGCACGGAAGGTGACGGAAAACTACAACGTCATCTACGAGAAGATGAGTGGCCGTACCGCTCTACTCTCAGGTGATCATGCAGTGCTTCCTTCAGCATGCGGAGCTCACGTAGTAATGGTAGTATTTTGGGGTTGTACAAGGAGACGCGATGTTAATCACTTGGGCGGTGAGACATGAGAAATTCACGCCCCCCAAAAACCACCAAGAGGGATCCCTACATCTCCACGTATCTCCGCCATCTAATCTGCATGTAGCCGTGACATTGGAATTACTCAAAACTCCCTTAAGGCGATGGGAAACCCCAGCACAACCCCTGAATCTAAGACTCAGGTATGACAGTGTTTTGTCCAAATCCCCCTAGAGTAGACCCCGAGAACATCCATGGCACAGGACTGCATAAGGAGTTTCGGCGCATGCTTATATTTGGTAGTTGATCCAAAGTTTGTTTGCCAAAATATTCGTTAGCTGGTCGCGAAGAACTTCTCTTCTAGACCCCCTACACCCTAAACCCTACCTTTTCCAAAGTACCGTCAGATCAACCCCCCATATGGTAGTTCCCCAATATGAGGGGACTCTCAATACGGAGCCCAACATACTATGCTGCCCATGACAACTCATTTGCGGTCATGCACTTAATTTGTCTCCTCCTGGTCCTTTTCACGTCGCTGCTGCTGCTGCTGCTGCTGCTGCTGCTTCTTTGTCAGGAAGTCCTCAGCACAAACGCTACGCAGCACGTTTGAAGCTACATTCTTTCAAGTCAAACCTCCAGCAATGAGACTTATATGTTCTGAATGTAGGCTTCCAGCCTATGCTCTGAGCCGAGGCCTTGCACTTCAAACTTTGTGCGCAATTCTACACCTCCATTTCCTGAATCCCGGCTTGAAACTCTGCAGACTTTGCAGGTTGAAATCTCAACTGCAGGTTTCAGATCAAGCCTCCGCAAACGCAAATACTGTGCAAAGGT